GAGAATAGAAAAAAAACATGGGGGGAAGGTCTTTATGGCTAAGTTGTAAAATTAGATCCCTTTAAAATGGTTTGTCCAAGAATGAAAACTAGGAAAACTTAACAAATTATAAAGAAGTAGTTAGATAAGGATCTCACAATTCTGAGGTACCCTCTGAGGAACTCCACAGGTAGTCATTTTTAAATAAGGCAGAGGGAGTACTGACAATCTTCTTGCAGACTAGGGCTATGTGGTGTACCCCTTTACATCCATGTATGTCCTTCAGTTTGGTTTTTGTGAAAGAGATTAAAGACACTCCAAGTTCACGCTCATTTTAAAGACAGAATAGCCTCATGAGCTCGAGAGGCATAATCTATGGTTGCCCTAAACAGTGGTCCTGACCTGTGGTGTTCCCAGCATCACCCCAAGTTTGTCAATGAGACGTGGACCACCCCTGGAGGGCCTGATGCTTGTTGGAGTCTGGACCTAATTGATGCTGATAGACAAATAAATCACAAAGGCCAGGTACTATTAAGAACTGTAGGAGAGATGGGGAGTTTGGGCTTAGGACTTCCATAGCACCTTCTTGGTAGGTGTCTGGTAGACAGGTGGGAGCACTAAGTGTGAGCGTTGGGGAAAGGGGCAGGTAGGATGCTGCAGCAGAGTGGCGTGTGGCACCTCATTTCTCTTAGCTGTAGTTCTCTTGTCAGTGGCCTCAGTTACCTGCAGTTATCCACATTCGGATTCCTGAGCATACCAGGGGTCTGAAGTGGGTAGTCACAAGGTGGGAGACCCTGCCCCTGAGCACTGGCGTGTCTCAGGGATCCTTGGTAATTGTTCAAAAGTGGGTTTCCCTTCAAGATGATGTTAGGCTGTAGGTGAGAAGAGATGGAGGCTGGATGAAGGACTGCAAGGGGATTTTCCAGGTCAAGAAACACCCAGCCTAGACTAGATCCTGCTAGTTTTCTTCTCCCATTTGTGTCACAGCTTCTGATGGGTTTGGGAGAATAATGGAGAGGTCGTAAGGTGAGAGAAACCTGAATCAGTGAGGTGTGATCCAAGTGAGAAAACAGAATAGAGCCTGACAGCCGGCAGCTGTGATGAGGAGGCAGCCTGGCCATTTTAGGCCACACTGGAGACATTTAATTTGAGATAAGTAGATTATCAAGCCACATGATATCCCAGGTCCCAATTTTAGTCACTTCTCTTTTCTTATGGTAATTTGAATCCATCAGATGCTCAATAAATGTGTATTGAATGATAGATAGTCATGAACTAGTTGTGAGGAGAATGGTACGTGGGCATTCAGAGAGCTGTGACACCCCACATCCATCTGGCAGATGTGCTCTCTTGCTGTCTTATGAGTGACTCACTACGTCCTCAGACAGAAGCTGAGGCTGGGGCTGGCACTGCACTGAGAAGCTGTGCTGTTCAGAAGGGAGCTGGGTAGTGATGGTGCTGGGCAGAGCGTGGAAGAAGAGCTCCTTGGACTCTGAACAGGCTTCCTAACACTTCACCTGTGACCTGGGCACAGATCCCACACAGGCTTCACTTTGGGACACTTCACAAACATCTCAAACCCTCTCACCTTTATTCTCACTGTGAGACCCACAGTACTATTTTCTACCAAGTAATGACATTTCTGTTTTGATGAAATTTTTTTGGTTGCTGCCTCTCATTTTCTCTCACTAGATGTGAGGGTAGATGTGAGGGTTTGCCTTGTGGAACGCCTCAGCAGGTAGTGACTGTTGCCTGAGTTTAGTGTTGAATGTCACCGCTGCTTAGGCAACTGTTCTCAATCAAGGTTTGTTTCCTCTCGCAGGACACCATGAAACCCCGCTGTCTGCATCTACCAAGATGCTGGAGAGGTTTCCCAACAATCTACCCAAACATCGGGAAAATGTGATTCCTGCTGATTCTGAGAAAAAGAGTTTTGAAGACGTAAGTGAGGAGTGGCCAGCTGCTGGCTCTCCTGCCAGGCGTTGGGGGATAAGGCAGTAGACTTTGCCCTGCCTCAGAGCTCACAGTCTATCTGGAGGGGAGAGGATTGCACCAGAATCCATAGCAAAGGAGATAAACTGTTCAAGGCTGCAGGGGAGGAGCAGGAAGTAATTCATGAAGGAAAGTACAAGAAAGGCCCAGGAGGGAGCAGGCCTGGAAGAATGGGGTGGGCTTGGCATGATGGGTGGGAGCAGGAAGGTCCTGGAAGGAAGGGAAGAGCAGAGGTGAAAGCCTGGGTAGGAATGAGGCTGGGATGCCCAGAGCTGGGCTGTGAGGAGACAGGCCCCACAGATCCAAGGCTGCCAGGGAAAGAGCTGAAGGAAATAAGCCAGGGGCAAAAGGGAACCACTTCCCAAGTCTCAGACAAGCCTGTTGGAGGGGTTAGGGCTTGGAGAAGAGGGGAGACCTGAAGTTTTATGAAGCCAAGGTCAGACTACTGACAATTGCCTGGTTTGGTTGCTTGAAGTGGCAGAGGCTTGGTCTGGCAGGGCCCCAGAGCACCTGGAAGGTGGTACCTCGGGCACAGGGAGGTTATTCAGGTAGCAGCTGCCCTGAAGTGCTGATGTGGGCTGTGGAGACAGGGTGTGCTAGTCAGGGTCTCAGCTGAGAGAGATGGCCCACACAAACTAGGGTAATTTGAGAATTACCCTAGTTTATTAGTGGCAGGACTGTTCAGACAGGTGTGGACAGTACCGGGGGTCTCATGAAAGGGCAGAGAGTGGAAGGGAACCCAGACCAGGAGCTGAGAGCAGTGATGGAGGGATGCTCAACCCAGCAGAACTCCTCGTTCTCCCGCCTCTGTCTTATCTGCTGGTGCTCCCTGTTGGCTTCACCCAGTCAGAAACCAGAGGTGTGGGAGACCATGGCTCTGGCCCCTGCAGGTCAGCCTTCTGAGGACACAGCAGGTGCCCTGTGGAGGAGACCCCACACCGCCAGCTGAAGTCCTTACTGAGTCGTTTGGACCTCATAGCTGCTTTCCTACCATGGGGGCCCAGGGATGGAGAAGGTGCCTGGGCTAGAGGAAGGTCAGGAATGAGAGCAGCTGCTGATGTGGAGCCCAAGGCCACAACAGATTCACTTGAGAGACTTAGGTTTTATCAAGAGGCAAAGGGTGATCATGGTCTCTTAAGAGTTCAGGGCACAATGTCTTTATCCATCACCTCTGGAGGCAGCCAGGTTGGAGAAATACACTGATTCTTAAAGCAGTGATTTGAATAGCATTGCCCTAAGAGCTTATTAAAGTCGTGCATATTCATTATTGAACACTTAGAAATGAAACTGTAAAGAAAATAAGATAATATCCTTAACATAACACCCAGAGGTAACCACAGTCCAGACTTATATATTTAACCATCTGGTCTTTAGCCACAGTTCTTTTAAAATCCATCAAAATACTCTCGCTCAGGCAGTAATGAGGCTGACTCTTTAAACAAACACTCTCAAGCAGATATAGACGAAATGAGTATGGTTGCTGGTCACATGCTCTGCAAACACTCCTCAGCCGCCTGCTACACACCAGGCTGCCACACTTCCCATGCACAGTGGGAGATACTGGGTGGAGGTGTGAGCAGAGCCGGAAGTGCCTGGGAGGGCCCAGGGAGCAGCAGGGGAGAGAATAGAATGGTGTGGGAGGCTCACAGCCAGTGGGTAGGGAATCCCACTGGGATGGGAGGCTGTGTGCTCATCTAGTTGGGCAAACAGAAGAGGAAGTACCTGGAGCACTGGGTGTATGAGAGGCGACCAGCACATTTCTCAGGGATTCTGAGGAGCTTGGAGCTTTATCTGATTTGAACCTTCTAAATAAAATTTTCTTTAACAAAGACTTCTGGTGCTTCTTAAAAGCTTTAGGAAAATAGTAGAATTCTTGAATAAATTATTTTAGTTTTGGAGTTACAACAAAAGTTCATATGCAATGTAAGAAAGCAACTTCATCTCAGCACTGAAGGGAGGAAGGAGGGAGGGAAGGAGGGACAGAGACACAGGCAGCTTCATTACTTTATAGGCACATGGGGGGCTTTCCTTTTCAGTATGAAATTGTATCATCATATTGACTGCCAGCTTTTCACCAGACATTGTTACAGATGATTTCAGTTTTTCCAGACATCAAATCTAGGGTCAGAGGAGGAAGTTTTTGCCTTCATTGCACATTTTCAAAAGAATATCGGGTCAGATGTGATGGGACACACCTGTAATCCCAGCAACTTGAAGGCTGAGGCAGAAGGATCACAAGTTTGAGTTTAGTCTGAGCAATGTAGTAGAACCTGTGTTAAAATAAAAATTTAAAAAGAGGCTGGGGGTGTAGTTCAGTAGTAGAGTGCTTGTCTAGCATGCATAGGGCTCTGGGTTCCATCCCCAGTACCACACACACACACAGAAAGAAATAATATCAGAGTCTAAAGGCACTTGCAAAAGTATTTTGCTTTGAAATATGTTTTTGAGCAATGGTAACATCACTATAGAAACATGTGGTCTTTCAGAGCCATTGCCTTGGAAGAAGCAACAGTTATCTGATGATGTGACTTTGATGTGCTCAGAAAAAAAATCCAGCACATTAGAGAAGGGTCCAATTATAACTAGGGATTCTCTTGATCTTTTACCTCACCTATATCTGGCCAGAAATTCTGCAATGACATAGTGATTCTTTCCTACACAAGGTTATCAACCTGGTGGATCAAACAGAAAATGCACCAACCACTGTGTCTCAGGATGTGGAAGAGAAGTTGGCTCGTGCCCCTGCCAAGCCTGAGGCTCCTGTGGACTCCATGCTCAAGGACATGGCTACCATCATCCTAAGCACCTTCCTGCTGGTTGGCTGGGTAGCCTTCATCATCACCTACCCCCTGGTAAAGCTCAGCCTTCCCCCCTACCCTCACCCCACTGCCCAATCCGTTCCTGCAATTCTCCACCTATCATCTTTATCAGACAAAAATGGCCAATGCATTTCTTTTCACATTTCAAAGTCAATATTTGAACCAGATGTGGTGGTGTACATCTATAATCCCAGCTATTCATCATCAGTTCAAGACCCAGCCTAGGCAACTTAGTGAGACCCTGACTCAAAATAAAAAAGAGACTAGGGGTGTAGCTCAGTGGCAGAGCACTGCTGGGTTCAACCCCCAGTACCACAAAATAAAAAAAGAAAGAAAAGAAAGAAAGTCAATATTTGCTTATCTTAAAAAAATTTTTGTAGTTAGAGATGCTAGTGTTCTAGATAAGGACAATTTTGTACCTAAATCTTAATGTTTTTTTCAAAAAACAGATTATAAGAGCTGATTTATAAACCTGCCCTCAGATCATTTTGAGTAGTTAATTATGCCTTCTTTTTAAGACCAGGGATAATAAACAAAAACCTTTCTTCCCTTGAAAATTGCCTGTTAGGTCAGTGAGCTCACAAATGGTGGCGTGGTGATTCCTTTGACTTCTCAGTTGGAATAATTGAGTAAAAATTCTGCCACTGAGCGGGCAGCGGGTGGGATGAAACCTTGATCCCTCCAGCAAGTCCATGGAGCATCAAGTGTTGCCTCCTCAGAGCAGCAGCGCTCAGGCAGCCCTCGGGGGCCCAGGACAGCAAACCCTGCACACACTTTGCTTTCTGTGGACAGTCTATTCACCTGATAGTTTTTGAGGTCAATAGGCTCTGGGAACCTAAGCCTCCTCCCAGGGTGCTTAGCTAGTAAACAGTGTTTCCAGGACTTCAACCCAAGGTTAAGAGAAAGGGAGCTAGAAAACTCACCTGTGGGTTGTGGCTGCACTCAGGCCCCTGTAGTCATCCTCCTGCGCCGAGTAAGAGTGATCACAGATAACTGCCTCTTCTAATGATGCTAGAGTGAACCTCTCAGGGTGCTGGAGAGGAGTGAGGGTTCAGGGAAGCAGCATGATAGATGAAGCCCCATGCTGCCTTGTCACAGCCATGTGGCCCGGGCGGGTGGCAGTGAGGTTCCAAGCCCCAGCTTCCTAGCTGCCTTCTGTGGGCCACCCAGGCGCTGAGCTCCATCAAGCACACAGCTGTGGGGAGCTGGCCTGGCCCCACGCACCACATTGCCTCCCACCTCAGAACATCCTCCCCATTCAGTGTCACCTTTGCAACAACTCCCAGGCTTCCATAAAACTCCTGAATTCTAGGATTAAGTAGAAGTCCCTTCCTCTGGGACAGTCCTTCACCCAGGGTAGAACTTCCTCTCTCGCTTCTGCCTGTCAGCCATTCAACCTCCACTGGCCCCTCCAAGGTTGGGGCATGGCCATACTGGGAAGGGTCGCACTGGCAGAACGACCTCCAGTCATTGGACAGATTGTGCCTCTCTGTGGCTTCTCCCTGGTCTCATGCCTAGGGTCACATAAAGTACACTTGGTCCCCTGCCTTGAGGAGCCACTTCTTTCCTGTGCTTGCTTCCCTGTAGAGTACCATAACACCTACCTGGATGTGTTTGTTTGCAGAGCATGCATCAGCAGCAGCAGCTCCAGAACCAGCAGTTCCAAAAGGAACTGGAGAAAATCCAGCTCTTGCAGCAACAGCAGCTGCCCTTCCATCCTCCTGGAGAATTGACCCAGGACGTCGAGCTCCTGGACACATCAGGCCCCTACTCAGAGAGTTCAGGCACCAGCAGCCCCAGCCCATCCCCCAGGGCTTCGAACCACTCGCTGCACTCTGGCAGCTCTGTCTCCAAGGCTGGTGCCGGCCCCTTCCTGGAGCAGGATGAGGAAGGTAAAGCCAGTTGCCATTTTGGTGCAGCTTTATCTTTCTGTTGAATTCTACCTGAGACGGTAGAGCACACACCACATCCTTCGGCAGAGTCTGCTTATCTTATCTCCATGACATGATAAAGGGCAATTTCTAGAAGGTTCACAATAATGCAAAGAAACAATACAGGGGAGGAGACAGCAGCTCTGGGCATAAATGGGCAGTGAGCCCTGCTGGCCCTTGTGTGGAGCCTCTTAAATCCCAGCTCTTAGTTTAGAGGTCAGGAAGCTGGCAGCCATTTTAGCTTTGAAATTCTTTAGGTGGAACTGTTTAAAACAATCTCTTCTTTTTCTCCTTTTGTGCCAGATGAGGAAACCAGCATGGTGATTGTTGGGAAAATTTCTTTCTGTCCCAAGGATGTCCTGGGCCATGGAGCTGAGGGCACAATTGTGTACCGGTGAGTAGAGTGGCTGGTCCTGTGCCCTTCCTACCAAGTGTGTGAGTGCCTGTCAATTGCAGGCTGAGAGTCAGGCTCCAAGGGCAGGATCAAAGTGGTGACCATGGCAGGTGAGACCCACATCCAGGAAGCTTGTGCACTAAAAGAGAAGTGATGTCCATGGGGCTGCTATTGGTCAGTCTGTGAGACTGATAAGGTGACCTCTATGTCACAAGAGGACACTGTGGGTCCATAAGTCTCATCTCATTTCCATAGCCTGACTTGCACCAGTCAAACACAACTGCTGCTCCTTGTCCTACAGGGGCATGTTTGACAACCGTGATGTGGCCGTGAAGAGGATCCTCCCTGAGTGTTTTAGCTTCGCAGACCGTGAGGTCCAGTTGTTGCGAGAATCAGATGAGCACCCGAATGTCATCCGTTATTTCTGCACGGAGAGGGACCGGCAGTTCCAATATATTGCCATTGAGTTGTGTGCAGCCACCCTGCAGGAGGTGGGTATGACTGGCCTTTAGGTGCAAAGGGCCACTGACAGCTTTGCCATGACCCCTGTGGACAGCCTCCCTTCCCCTTTCAACTGGGATGTTGTTTTAGGGATTGCCAATTTGTTATTGTGTTTTATGAACCTGATTGAAATTGCAGTATAGGAGACTATCATGCTAAGTGAAATAAGTTAGTCCCAAAAAACCAAAGACCAGATGTTCTCTCTAATATGCAGATGCTAACTCACATTAAGGGGGAAGGTTGGGGGAAGAATAGAGGTTCTTTGGATTAGACACAGGGGAATGAAAGGAAGGAAGAGGGGAGGGAATAGGAAATACAGTAGAATGAATCAGACATAACTTTCCAGTGTTCTTATATGAATACACAACCGTATACTCCCCATTGTGTACAACGAAACTGGGAAGTTCCACTCCACATATGTTCGATATATTAAAATACATTCTACGGTCATGTATAACTAAAGAGAACAAATAAAAAACTTTTAAAAATTATAGTACAATGAAATGTACTCCTTTTAAATGTATAGTTAATGCACTTTGACAAATGTATATATATCCGTTTAATCACTAACACCAAATGTAGAATATTTTTGTCACTCTAGTTGTATGTGTGTGTTTGTTCATTTATTGGTACTGGGGATTGAACTCAGGGATGCTTTACCTCTAAGCTACATCCCTCACACTCTTTTTTTTAATATTTATTTTTTAGTTGTACACAATATCTTTATTTTATTTATTTATTTTTATGTGGTGCTGAGGATTGAACCCACGACCTCGCATGTGCTAGGCGACTGCTCTACTGCTGAGCCACCAACCCAGCCCCATCCCTCACACTCTTTATTTTTTATTTTGAGATAGGATCTTGCTAAGTTGCTAAGAGCTTCACTGAATTGAGGAGGCTTGCCTCAAACTTGGATCCTCTTGCCAATTTTAACTTGGGAGGCTAAGGCAAGAGGATCCATGTTTAAGGTGTACCACACCCAGCTCACCCCAGTTTTAATGGAGTGGTCTTCTGAACATGCCTGGACAGTCTTGGTTTGCAGTTGGCATGTGTCTCCCCTTTTGCCTCCAAGGAACCTGTTCAGTTATTATTCCCATCTCTGCTCATGGCTGGTGTGTGCTTGGAGGTTGCTTGTTGATGAGTGAAGACTGTATAGTTATCCAGCAGACTTATTTCACTCTGTTCCCAGGCTTACCTTAAAATATTTCAGTATCATTTGGATTCCTCTGCAGGCTTACCTATATAAGACAGTGAACTTGAATGTCTTGCCGCCTTCTCCTCCTCCTCCTCCTCCTCCTCCTCCTCCTCCTCCTCCTCCTTCTTCCTCTTCCTCTTCCTCTTCCTCCTCTTCTTCTTCTTCTTGACAAATCTTTATTTTTATTTATTTATTTTTATGTGGCGCTGAGGATATAACCCAGGGCCTCATGCATGCGAGGCAAGCGCTCCACCCTTGAGCCACAACCCCAGCCCCCGCCTTCTTATCTTTCTTATTGTGAATTAGTACATGGGAGCTTTACTTATTTGTTTAAGTCAGTCTGTAACTAGGAGATCTGTTGGGAAATATGGATTTCAATAGAGAATGTTGGTAATAATGGAATCGAGAAGGAGCTCAGGATCTAAGAAGTCCTGAGGGCTGCGCTATGACCTTGCCATTGTGTCTTTTGCAGTACGTAGAGCAGAAGGACTTTGCCCACCTTGGCCTAGAGCCCATCACCTTGCTGCAGCAGACCACCTCAGGCCTGGCACACCTCCACTCCCTCAACATTGGTAAGAGGCTCCCCAGGGGCCAGGTGGGGGTGTCTGCCTGGTTAGCTCTTTACTACATCACAGTTGTACAAGGTGAAGAGGGAGCCTAGGTGGTTCCTTGACAAGTTGGATTAGAATATAAGAGGGAACCTTACGAAGTTTAAAACCTTTAGAGAGGATAGTGGGTTTATTAGGGTTTGACAAGAACCCATTTTCCCCTTATGGGAGGCTGGGGTTGCTCATGGTAAGCACTGGATGAATCTGGAATTCTCTCTTAGTTCACAGAGATCTGAAGCCCCACAACATTCTCCTCTCCATGCCCAATGCACACGGCAGGATCAAGGCCATGATCTCTGACTTTGGCCTCTGTAAGAAGCTGGCGGTGGGCAGGCATAGCTTCAGTCGCCGTTCCGGGGTGCCTGGCACTGAAGGCTGGATTGCCCCAGAGATGCTGAGTGAAGACTGCAAGGAGAATCCTGTGAGTGATGGCATGGCCTCTGAAGACCACAGACCCAGTCATTGTGCCTCCGTAGTCAGAACCGTCAAATTCAAGTTTTGGGGGCTGAGGCACATGTTCCTGGAGAAGGTCATTGCTTTAGCAGAGAGCTCCTATGCATACATTTCCATATTGTCTCATACTCAGATACATGAGGGGGCAAATATGGGCAGTTGTCTAATTTTTTATCCTATTTTTTTAATATTTATTTTTTAGTTGTAGTTGAACACAGTATCTTTATTCTATTTATTTATATGTGGTGTTGAGAATCAAACCCACAGCCTTGCACGCACTAGGCAAATGCTCTACTGCTGAGCCCCAGCTCCAGCCCACTGTCCTATTCTTCTAATCACTTTTAAACCGCATTTTTATTTGGGGGAACTGGGGAATCAGGGCATATGTGGGATAAGCAAACCTCCAGTTTTCATTATTTTTTATATTTGTTTTTGTTTTCCCTACTTTTTAATTTGAAGAGTTTTAGACATGCAGAAAATTTGAATGTTATTGTGACCTATGTTCCTCTACCTGTCGATGATTTGCTATATTTGCTTTGTCTTTCTCTTGCTGAATTATTGGCATATAAGTAGCAGCATTCCAAGCCTGTATACCTCTACATACAGCAACAGTGTCTTTTAGGAACAAGTACCTTCTACTTGGTCACCACCATGTCAGTATCACACCTGAACATTCAATAGTGTTCTCATCCTATCACCTAATATTCACATTTCCAGTTAGTCCCCAAAGTCTTCTCTAGGACTGGATTCTGTTTACCAGGACCCCATCGATTCTTTTGCTTCACATTTGATTTTATCTTCCTAAATTCCAGCGGTCTCCCACCTATTTTGTTCCTTGTTGCTGACATTTGGAGAGGATAGGAATACCCTGTTTGGGGTTTGTTTGCCTATTTCTTTATGACAGTGTTTAATATTTGTCTCTATTCTTTATATTTCCTGTGAACTAGATGTTAGGTCTGGAGGCCTGATTAAATTCCAGTGAAATGTTTTGGGCAAAAATAAATCACAAATCACTACATCAGGAAGTATATGATAACAAATTGTGCCCTTGTTATTGTACCCCTATTAGTAATGCCCACTTGAGTCACCTGTGTCTGCTGATCTCTCTTCTATAAAGGTTCATTTCTCCCTTTGTTGTTAGCAAGTCATGTGCAGGGTGACCCTCTGGCACAGTGGGTGTTGAAGTCCTTCACCCATTGGCTTTCCTCTATTGACCATGCTTCCTGAAGCACTCATTGCAAAGAAATTATTCATTTATTATCTGGTATTTAGCTCCAATTTTAACTCCTTTTCTATTTCTTTCTTAATCACTGTGGACTCAAGATTCAAGTAATAGTCAATGGTAGTCATTTTTTTTTTTTTTTTGTCCTTACTCCTTTTGATACTTGAAATGTCCCAGATTTGGCCAACAAGATCCCGTTAAGCTGGCTTTGGCATCCATTTGCTAAGAGTAGGCTCATATTTAGACATCTTTCTTTGTAGCATAAGTCATCAAAGGCTTGTCTTGTCCCTTCCCTGATCCAGAACTGGGTCGGATGAGCCATCTCAAGCAGAACAAACAGGATAGAATCCCTCTTATCCAGTTCCCTGGGGACAGCAGCCTGTCAATTATCACAAGTCAGAAACAATGATGAATTATTAAGAAAATACACACATATCTTAAATACATTTTCTTTCCCAGTACTGGTGATTGAACCCAGGGGCACTGTACCACTGAGCTACGTCCCCAGCCCTTTTTTCTTTCATTTTGAGACATGTTCTCTTTAAGTAGTGGAATCTGGTCTTTAAGTTGTAAGCCTCTGGCCTCAGCCACCCAAGTTGCTGGTTATAGGTGTGTACCATCACACCCAGCTTTTAAACACATTTTCACTTAAAGCAAGTTATGTAGTTCTTTAAGTAATAGGAAATTTCTGCCATAGGTCAAGGTTTTGCTTTAGTTTTTTCAAATTTGGGTCTGACTGATTGAAGTTGTTCATTTCTCTCGAAGAATACTCATATGCCACTTATGATGAGGCTCAGACATTCAAACATGTCCTAAGGGGCTTGAGAGCCGAATCCTTCGTGTCCCAGTCCAGTACTGTTGGTTCACAGCAGTTTGGTAGCCACTCCCTTTAATTGAGTCTTCCCAAAGTTTCAGCAGACCTCTCACTTTGTGGAACTCATATTTTATCAGCTTAGGGAATATTTAAATGACAAGTACAAATGGCAGTAGTACATTTGGGGATGAACTGAACTGGGACCCAGGAAGGCTGGAAAGGCACATGGCTGGAGTACCCACTGCTGGACTCCACCTCTTATATTTTCCACAGAACAATTTGGGAGAAAAGCCAGGCACTCTTCATGATCTTCCATGCTGGAGAAAACAGGCCCTTAACAATGTAGCAGTTTGTTCAGCCTCTCCACAGGCCAAAACAGAACAAAACCTCCCTGCCCTGAGCGTGGCCTTTGCTGGGGATGAGAGGCAGCATGAGCTGCAGAAGGCATGGGGGGTGTCACGGCACCGTGGGAAGGTGCAGGGGCAGGAAAAAGATCCAACAATGGTGGCTGTGTTCCAGGTGTAAAATTAGAAGACCTGTCCTGGCGGGTCACTGTCTAGGAGGGACCCTGAGCTTGTCCTCAAACCTTTCTGTCTATGTCCTCATCTGGGAAGGCTCACCCCACAAGGCTGTGGTGAGGCTGAACGAATGTGCTTCGTTGTTAAGGGCCTGTTTTCTCCAGCATGGAAGGCAGTGAAGAGTCCCTGGATTTTCTCGAAAGTTGTTCTGTGGAAAACATAAGAGGTGGAGCCCAGCAGTGTGGACTCCAGCCATGTTCAGGGACCCCCTTATGGTAGACCTTAAGGAGCATGAGCTACGAATCACACGCTGTGTCTCTTTAAAGAGAGGCTCACCTGGACACTGAGCAGTTTGACAGGATAAGTGAGAGGTGATATCAGATGTCAAAAACGACTTCACTGGAAACCTGTCAGGTGGTTTCTTTCTTGTGCCAATTTTGAACCCCAAACAGATTCCTTTACTAACAAAGGGTAGATACCTATTATGTGCTGGCACCTTCTAGGCACGAGGGCATAGCAGGGAAGTGAACACGGAGGTCCCCACCGATGAGGATTCTGCTGTTGGGTAAAGAACATCTAACTGCTAGGGGAGCCACCTTCGGGCAAACACTGTTGTTTTTTAATTCGCTGTTTTCCCATATTAATGCATTTAGTCTTCACAACACCCCTTGAGAACAAATCATCACTGTCCTCATCGTACACATGAGGAAGCCAAGGCACAGTGATCAAGGCTGAGAGGCAGAGCTGGTATTCCAGGCAATTGGCTCCCAAGTCCACTTCTTCCACTGTGACCATGATACCAAGACTGCTCTGGGCAATTAAGATCCATCGGCTGATTCTCCCAAGACACCTCCCAGGGGCTAAAGTGGCAGCAGTACTCTTCCTCCCTAGCTGTGAGTGAGGCAAGAACTCTGCCTGAAACCTCTCATGCCCTGCGTTTCTTTTCAGACCTATACAGTGGACATCTTCTCTGCAGGCTGCGTCTTTTACTACGTCATCTCTGAGGGCAGCCACCCCTTTGGCAAGTCCCTGCAGCGGCAGGCCAACATCCTCTTGGGTGCCTACAGCCTTGAGTGCTTCCACCCAGAGAAGCATGGTGAGTGGGTGGGGACTGGTCTGGCATTGCCTCTATACTCCTGCTGCTCCCCCTGGGCTTCAGGGTGTACCAGGGCTGGGGGAGGGATGGCTAGAGTTACCCTTGGAGCACCAAGGAGTTCTGAGGTTCCTGCAGAACCTGTGCCCTGGGCAAGGCCCCTCTGGAGACCTGTTTTTTCCAGCTTGTGATATAAGGCTTGAATAATCTAAGGTTTCTTCCTGTACTGGCATTTGAGAGGACAAATTGTCTGTGGTTCATAAATGACTGTGTGAGACACATTCTGTGCTGGGATGGATAGGCTCTGTCCTCACTCTCCTGGCTCAGGCACAAGTCTTTCTTCCTGACTTTGGAGTTTACTGGGTTCTGATAGCCCATGATAGCCTAATATTGTCTCTTGAAAAAAACTAAAACTAAATTATTGTTTTGCTTAGGGGTTAATTTTTCTTATTCCTTATAACAAACGATTATCATAAAGGCCAATATTTCCATTATACAGTATTTAATGACTGCTCTTAACTTTTTGGTATATAGTACCAATCACTTATCTAGAAATATGTGCACACTTTTATAAAATGGGCTTAAGTTACTACTTCCCAACAGGCTCATTTTTCAACTTCACCTTGAATGTCTCTCCATGTCAATCCACATCTAGCCACACCATCATTTTAATAGTTCATCATCCAGTACCTGGAGACACAGAGTGTCTCCCAAGTCCCCATTATTAGTTATTTTCAATCACTCCTTTCACAACACACACAGAGGACTCCCCTTTATTAGCTGAAGTTTGGTGTGAGTTTTTAATTATCTTATTGGAGTTAATTCCTTTAAGTGGAATCCTGCATTCAAAGGTATGCAGATTTTAAAGGTTTTTGGTATTTCCTTGTGACTTTGGGCGTAATAATGGGTCACTTATATTCCTCCTTTGTAGAAGACGTCATTGCACGTGAGCTGATAGAGAAAATGATCGCCATGGATCCCCAGCAGCGGCCCTCAGCGAAGCATGTTCTGAAACACCCATTCTTCTGGAGCCTGGAAAAGCAGCTGCAGTTCTTTCAGGTACATGTGTCTGTTTCTCCACCCCAAGCTTTCATTCATGTCTTCCTGATTTTGAAAATGGAGAAAAGGACAAAGACTAAAACAAAAGACCCCGAATCCTATAACCAAAATAGAACCATGGCGGCAGGTTAATGTATTTATTTCATACTGGTAAAAGTTTAATTGGGGTTACAACATACATATAGTTACGAATTATTATTATTATTATTATTATTATTCTACTGTACTTAGTGTTTTAAGTATTTCTCATGTTAGAGTTCTAAAATTTTAATGACTATTTTATCATATGGATGAGCCATAATTTTTAAACTCTATATTATAGAATTTGCTAATACACAAAAAAAAGTAGATCAAATACTACAAAGAACTCCCCTTTACCAATTCCCCAGCTTCAACAAGTATTAACTTTCACCCTCTTCCCACTCCTGATTATTTTGGAGCAAATCTCAGGCATTATATAAATTCATTCAAGTGTCATAAATTTGAACATTTCCCTATATTGGATTTTTATTCTGTCATCTTTTAGCCAATCTCTGTTTAGCTCTCATTTTGCTTAGGACAGATTCTGTGACATTAAATTATAGAATCAATGACTGTGACTGCTTTTGGTGGTTGGATAGTCTTTGCGACTGTGTGACATCTCCAGATGGCTTTGTGGAGGTTGTGCTTCCATTCTCATGTGGTGTGCCCTGAGTATAACTCACCCAGATGCCTCCCACCAGCACAGCATGGCTCTGAAGAGCAGCCTCATCGGGTAGAGTGGCTCCTCCTGGGTCTTGGCAGAAGTGACCATCACACTGTCTTAGAGTCCCACTGGGGCCTTGGCTATGTGAAGCCCCCAGAACATAAGCTTCTTGTGGTCAGGAATGATTACTTCATTCTCTGCTCTGTCCCCACCTCCTAGGGAGGACACTGCCTGGCCCACAGCAGGTGCTAGTAACCATTTGGTTGGATTGGGAGGGGCAGGCCCAGGGCAGCAGTGTGTAGCATTAGGGTTGATCACTGTTCCAAATTCTCAAGTCTAGGCCACTTCGATGGCAAAATATAGAATAAGGCTAAAACCTGGGGGCTGGAGTTGTAGCTCAGGGGTAGAGCATTTGCTTAGCATATGGGACACTGGGTTTGATCCTCAGTATCACATAAAAATAAATTAATTAAATAAAGGTATTGTGTTTATCTACTACTAAAAAACAATTTTTTTTTTTTTATTTTGCACAAAGGGACCTCTGCGTCACCGTGGTTTAGGATTAGCATCTCTAAGTCATGTCTTGCAAATACAGTTGGCTTCTATCCATGTCAGCTCAGAAACACATCCCTACTGTGCCCCGTATGGCAAGCTAACCTCTGCAAGGCTTTTATCTAGGATTACAGATCAGATGTTCAGCCATTCTGGCTTCATCTTTGTCAAGAAAAAACTACAGCTTATCTAAGGCTGTGTTAACATATCTGGCTCATAGCTCCTCGTTCCCTCCAGTTGTGACCTGTTTACAGGTGGGGATGCGAAAGGCTGGTACTTAGGGTGCCTCCTGACCCTCTTTCTCCTTACCAGAACCAAACACAGCACAGGGCTTGAATCTAAAGAGGCCTCCAGATCCCACATTCTCAACACCAAGTTTTTCCCTTAAAAGGAAGGCTTGGTTTCTTGTCTTTTCCAATGTTCAAATGAGGAGTGACAACATTCCTAGTTAGGATTTGAGCATGTTTCAATGGATAGATAAAGCATGGTTTGCAAATGGATTATAGAGGTTTTTCTTTTTCTTTTTTTGTTTTGGCAAATATAGATTACACATGGCTTTATGTAAACATGGTTGTGTGTGTTTGAGAGAGAGAGAGACAGAGACAGAGAGATTCCAGAGATGTGTTCATGGTCAGTTGTGGAGATGATCTCTGTGGGCCTGTCCTAGTGAGAAACACACACAGCTGCTCAGTGGGGAGGAGTCCGCGAGCCGGCGAGGCAGGGTGCTGGGTATTTTCTGGGAGCAGCCTGGGCCCAAAGAGGAATGACAGGCTCTTTAAGACCCACACAGCAGTGGCCATTCTGTGGGCCAGCGTGTGCATCCTATAGCGCTCACCATCTCTAACACTGACCAGCATCTGTTGCCATGTTTCCTTGGCAGGACGTGAGTGACCGAATAGAAAAGGAGTCCCTGGATGGCCCGATAGTGCGACAGTTAGAAAGAGGCGGGAGAGCCGTGGTGAAGATGGACTGGCGGGAGAACATCACTGTCCCCCTCCAGACAGGTGATCATTTCTAAGAAGTTAGCAGGGACATGGCACCACAGGTTGTCCAAGCTCCAGATCCCACCCTCGGGTTTGAGACTCTGTGTGGTCTGGGTGTGGTCATACTGATGTGTTTGATGTTTGATCTTAGAGTGACAGGTTAATGATAGTGACGGGGGTGGGGTGGGGGAGCATTTCTGATCTGGTTGCAACCTTGAGGTGACTTCATGCTAATGCAACCCTCAGATATGAGGTGGGGCATCTGCTCCTATGACTATAAATAAAGTGATGTCACATTTCAGTCCAGTTGCTTAATCCCCAGGACTCTAAGAATTGTTTTCTTTTAAAAATTTGTTAATTTCTTAGCCATTTCATCCCTTAATGTTTTTCTAGATCTGCGTAAATTCAGAACCTACAAAGGTGGCTCCGTCAGAGATCTCCTTCGAGCCATGAGAAATAAGGTGAAGGGCTTGTGGGTGCTGGGAGGGGAGGTGGCCACACAAGGCACCCACCTCTTTTGATCTGTCCCTACAAGTCCTTTCCTCATGCTGGTTTCTGGCTCTCAGAGGCTAGACTTGACAAGTTAGAGGCTATTTCTTCCCTCATACGGGTCTTTTTTCTCCAGGGACGTTGAGGTACAGGGTTACGCTCTGGAGAGCAGCCTCTCTGAGCTGTGTCCTTCATGGTCTCTCTGCTGACTCCCATGCCCTCTGACTGCCAGCCACCATACAAATATTATAACGGGGACTCTCTGGCACCCTTCTCACACAGGGTCTGGTCTCCAGGGATTCAGGGAGGGGGCCTTTCTTGTCTTTAGGGGGGCCTAGGGGTGCTTTTGGCCTGTGCTGTCACCAGGTAGCCTTCAAACAGGGCCCAACCCCAGGCACAGAAGTCTCCATGCCTTGTGGGATAGACACTTCAATTCTAGGTGACTTTATTCCACTTGCAGCTGCCAGCACCTTCTCTTGGTCCTGACCCTCATGGGAAACCTGTGCACCTACTGCTCCTGTTGTCCCCAGGCTGGACCTCACTTGCTTTTTTTTTTAAATAATATTTTTTAGTTATAGATGGACACAATACCTTTATTTTATTTGTTTATTTTATTTTTATGCCTCACATGTGCTAGGCAAACACTCTGCCACAGAGCCGCGACCCCAGCCCCCTCGCTTGCTTCGAGGCCTCTTTCTAAAGGAGGGGAGGGAGGCAGGACGATTGGGATGGACTGTGGGATGTGCCTTTCCTGTATAGAGAAGCAGCCAGCACTGTGTCTTCCAGCTGCTAACCCTCTGTGTCTGCCTCCCTCTGCAGAAACACCACTACCGGGAGCTCCCAGTGGAGGTGCGGGAGACGCTGGGCTCCCTTCCCGATGACTTTGTGCGCTACTTCACCTCCCGCTTCCCCCACCTCCTCTCACACACCTACCGGGCCATGGAGCTGTGCAGCCACGAGAGACTCTTCCAGCCCTACTACTTCCACGAGCCCCTGGAGCCCCAGCCCCCAGTGACTCCAGATGCCCTCTGACCAGGGCAGTCCCTCCATTCTGGTGACCCAGCTGTGACTGCAGACCTGGTCTCTGCAGTCCAGAGCTTGATGCCTCCCAGCTTAGCAGGGAGACCAGGCTTCCCAAACCAAGTGCCTTGAGCTGCCCACTCTGCAGCCAGCAGACGATAATGTTGACCCCAAGAAGTGGGAGAGGTGGCCCTCATGACCTATAGGAAACTAGGAGGATGCTGGCCCTGAAAGCTTTGTAGCCCAAGGATGTCTGCAAAGGAGGCTGTGAAGGGAGCATCGCGGACCCTCTGCTGGTTGAACTCACTTCAGCTTGTCTCTTTTTATAATTCCTATTTGATGTCAGCTGAGGGCCTTTCAGGAGGGGAGCAGAGGAATTCTGTGTGGCCTGCAGGCTGAGACCAGCTAGGCTGGGATGCAGGAAGTGCAGCCTCTGCTAGAGTGGGCTGGAGAGGTGAGGAGTGCTGAGGAGGAGGACGTTTGGAGATGTTCTCCTGGGGAGAAGGAACCTCATCACAGATGTACCCAGAGGCTCCTTGGCTACTGGTAGCAGTGTTTCCCCAGGGAGCAAAGCCGTGAGCATGGGGCGTAAAGTTAGGGACGGCTCAGCCATGCACGTGGGCAGCTGAGGTGTATCTAGTCTCTGGAAATGAAGAGGACACTCTGTTCTGGAGGCTGCAGTTGGCAGCGTACCAGGGCCTGAATGGAGGCCCTGTGGTGGATTGTGTCCTGGGCCATTTGGGGCCAGAGGGGAAGAGTTCCCTAGCCATCAAGGAGGGCAGCTAACACCAGACAGGGACAGGCCCTCAGGAGCAGAGGGGAGCCACTGAATGGGAGCCTCCTGGCTATGCAGAGAAGACCTTGAGCCAGCTTGTGAGCAATAAGTCCCCTCTGTCCCCGAGACCAGCAGATCAGGATGCACGTGGTGAGTGAGAGCCTGTGGGCTGGGAGCCAAGGCCAGGGTCATGTGGGCTTTGTGGGCCAGCTTTCTATTTCTCCTGGCAAATCTTAATCTATTTTGATCATACTGTAGAATGCTATATTAGCATAAGTAAGCGAAACTTAACTTGAAACTTACTCATGAGGAAGAAATGCAAGATATCTTCTATTTTGTGTGGTACCAAAAATCATCATCCTCTTGAGAGTGTTCCCATGTAGACCATTATTCTGCAATGCTGAAGAGCAAAACATTCTAGTAACACTATGTAAATGTACTAATGTCAAAGTAATGTTCCCTAAATTATGTCAGTACCTTTTTTCCCCTAAAATCAATCAATATTCATTTCTAACTTTAGTTTCAGTTAACAACTTCTGTCTTTTCCCTCCCGAGAGCTTAGAGGTTATGGTGCAGTCAGGGTCCGCAGGGGGGGCGGGTAATGTTCTGTGGGAACTTCCTGTAGCTCCTGGTCTGCTGAGTGTCTAGCCAGTCTGCATGAGAGCAGCACTGTCAGCTTCACGCAGCCACAGGGTGCTGCTTCCCGTGAGAGGTTTTCTGCTTGTGTTCACATCAGGTCGCTTACCCAAAGTTTATTCTGACTTTCTATTCAGTTCCTTGCTTTCTTAATGACTAAAGTGGCCTTTTTCTTAATGTAACCCTACATCTTTAACCTCATGGAGAACCCGCTCATGACCTTAGAGCCTGAGCACTCTGATTGGCTCCCTGGTGTCTCCTGTCACATGGTCAGGAACACAGCTGGCTCTGTCCCCTATACCTGGTCTGCCTTCACAGTGCTCTCTGTAGACTTGTACAGGTCTCTTTGCTAGTGAGTCCAAGAGGTGACAGCCCGAAAAAGCATCAGGCTATTCAGCTTTTTAGAAGTCTGCTGTCTTCACCTTTAAGACAGAATTGAGTTGCACCACACGTGATCTAATAGGACTCCCTGCTTCTGAGGCTGCTGCTCCCCTCCTTCTCCTGGCTGGTTTTCCCTTCGGGAAGTACCTAGGCAGCTTCTTGTGGCCCTCTGTGGTGTCATCTCCCTGTTTTAGCCCAACTTACTGAGAGACAGCTTTTTCAGATGCCTTTTCCACTCACCAGATAGATGATCTGCTAACCACCCAAATTCCTCAAACCCTTTACCCAGCACATTTTATTTTAGCACTTACTGCGTTGCACTGGGCAGGACACAGGTGCCAAAGAAAGAGATGGGCCAGATAGGCACAGCCCGCCTTCCCAGAGCTGCTAGTGAGAGTCACCCACAAAGACATCAGTGCTACGAAGAAACCCCAGCAGTGGGGAAGGGTGTGCGTTTGGGGTTTGTACCTCTGCCTTAAAATTGCCCCCATCCCAGAGTCCATGGGCTCTGGCCAGGTCACCATCCCTCTGTTCTCTCTCCTCATCTCTAGGGACTCAGGCACTTGTTTTGAAAACACCTGGGCATCATCTAGTGAATCCAGTTTGAGTCTAGAATTCCAGTTTCCCATTTTGCTCAGCACTGAGGGGAACAGCTCTGCAGCACTGCACGCCTTTAGGCCAAGTCATGAGGCCTCTGTGATTCCCAGAAGGCTATTCAGCTTTTTAGAAGTCTGCTGTCTTCACCTTTAAGACAGAATTGAGTTGCATCTGTTAGGAATCAGAGGACCCTGTATTTCATTTAAATCTGTCTTGAACTGTGTGTGAAGCCTCTCTTGCCCATGAGCCACGTTTCTCTTGCTGCTTCTTAAGTCTTTTGTCTCAGTTTTTGAAGAGCACCACGTGTCCATCATTAGGCACCAAAGCATTGGCACTTTGAGGAATGCTGTTATCACTCAGCATGTCACCAGGGCATCTGGTGGCTGAAGGTGAAACCCACATGCAAATGTCCTGCTCTTACTGCAGCAGCTGCCACAGGCTCTTCATGGAGACAGCACTGGACAGTTACAGACCCATATTGGGTTGGAGGTCTGCAGGGCAGGGGGTCCAGGGAAGTGCTTTCTTTCCACCAACCCTGGAGGATTGGTTCTTGTCAGGGTTGACCTGAGCCTGTGGAGGGGCGTTGTGTGAATGTGATTCATTATGGATGGCAGGTCTTTCTTGCCCCAGTAGAACAGTAACTGGCTGTTGAGGTGAACTTCACGTAGAAGCAGCCCCTCGGGTTGCTGGGCCCTCCCCTCCTGGCTGCTTTCTTTTCAGCAGCTGGGCTTTGGCCAGGTGTGGTTTTGCCCACTGTTCATCCTCCCTCCATTCATTAGATCCTTGTCTGTCTGCTCCTTGTTCATTTCCTTCAGTCAATCATTGGTTAGAAGGTGCTAGAAGAGCCAGCACAGTAGCCCTTCTTTTTGATCTTTGGTTTCTGAAACCACGCTTCTCTTGCTCATCCCTCCACATCCGGGAGCAATGGTGTCAGTTGGGTGTTCCTGGCAGAAGGTCCTGGGCCTCTGTGCAGGAAGCTCACATTCCCCCAAGTCGGGCCATTATCTTGTCAGCCAAAGTATCTGTCTCTTCTTATTCTTTGTTTTCTTTATAAAATAGTGATTAGCCTGTGAGTAACTCTGGTTCTAGTTTTATGTGTAGACATCTAAGTCCTTTCTGTATTCATTGGAAAGCCACAAAAGACACCTCTGTGACTGGGGAGACGGCTCAGTGGTAGCACGCTTGCCTTGCATGCAAAATGGCCCTGAGTGTCATCCCCAGCCCACAAAAATAAACAAAGGACGCATCTGCCATGAGCCTCCCCCTGGAGCAGCCTTAACCAACACTGCCAGCCAAAGTTCCCACCTGGGCCTCTCCTGCTCTCCATGTTGGTGGGTACAGTATTCCTTCCCAGTGTCCCTAAAGCTGTGACGGGGGAGTCCCCACTCACCTAAGCATTACTGGTCAACTATGCGGCATTCTCACATGCAAACGTTGTGTAGTGTTCTTTTTGCAATGACCTATTTATTGAACCTATTTATATTTATTTAATTTTTACTCTGAAGTATATCCAGTCATGGTTGCACTTGCTTAGAGCACATCATCTGTTTGGACAGTGCCCCTGACCAATTCAAAACTGGAAAAGGAAGAGTCCTACTTATCCTTCCACGGATGGATGCCTTACAGTAGTCTTGTCTTTAAAGGGTGAATAATTTGGTCGGGGTAAGATGTTAATTTTTAGGTGATTTTTTTTTTTAAATCTGTGCCACCATGTCTTCTCTGTGGATGGTTTAATGTTTGGTATGTGTTAATTGTGTGGTACAATCCTTTTTGTGGAATCTTAAAATTTTTTTAGCTTTATATTTTATAAAATGCCAGATTGTACAACTTTTAAGTGTATTTTTAAAGCTTGATGATCTGAGGGTCATTATCTGAGTTAACGGCCTATTTTCGTACCTCTTGTACAGTTTTATAATCTGCTGATTGATGATGGCATCTTACGTCAAGCCAACAACAAATAAAGGTAGTTTTAGATTTGGGAGTTGGTGTATTTTCTTAGGGACTTGCGGCCAGCTCACAGGCAGGGGCTCCTCCTGCTGTCTTCTGAGGGGCAGGCTCCACAAGGCCTGAGCAGCTGGCCCAACAGCAGGACCCAGGACCTGGAGCACCCTCTTTGGGGGCAGTTTGTGGGAAAAGCTTACCTGAAACATTGCCAAAGTGCCCCAAAGTAGTATTTGGGCTGCATTTTTAGGAATGTGGCCAGTGAGAAGTCGGCTCCAAAAGCGGAGTCTGGACTCTGCCAGCAGGATTCTGGATCAGGAAACCTAGGAGGGAGAAGACCCATCCAGGTTACTTGGCCGGCTGAGCCCTTGGGGAGTCTTGGTGGGCTCACGGCACCAACACCTGAGATGCCCCCACAATCACACCCAGAACCTTCCAGCGTGCTCTCCTCCCACAGCCCCATCCTGTCTGGAGAAGTCAGGTGAGCTCCCCGTGTTCCCCCACCAGGACAGGGGCCACTCACAAAGGGACAGTGAGGCAGGGCCTGCATGGACGGTGGCCCCCTCCTCATATCATGCTGGAGGGACTCTGGGTGTCACATCTCATGACTAAAACACTCAGGGTCACTCCAGGTGAACTGGGCTACACGAAATAACCACACAGAGACCTCTGACCTTAGGGGTCCATGGAAAGAGAGGAGCACGTGCTGAACCCTTTTATTGGAAAAAGCCATGCAAATGAGGTACGGGGTCAGGTTTCAGGGGGTTGAGTCTGGCTTCTTGGTGTCTGCTGTCAGCAGATTGACATCTGGGGAGGCCATGCCCATCTCATGAGCTGTGTGGGGATCATGGCAGAGCAAGGCCCGCCCAGACAGAGGGGCAACGTCGGTTCAGTCTACTTTGTGCACTCAGTGCTCATCGTTGACAGACACAGCCCATGGCTGGCTGGCCACATCTCCACATTGTCACCACTCAAGGCTAAGGGGTGCTCAGTTCTATGTGGCAGCTCCCAACATCTGGGAACAGCACTGAGACCGCAGACACACCTTCTCTCTGAAGCACTGGGTCTTAGACAGCCACATCCCAGGAGAAAGAGTGCTGCTTTTCGTTTCCCCTCGGGGCTGCTAAGCAGAGCTGAGACCCAGCCTGGAAATGGCCCGGCCCAGGAGGCAGGCGACTGGTAGCTCCCTTTGGCTGCCTCTGAGAGCAGAGAGATGCAGGGGAGGCCAGAGTCTAAAAGACTCTTCTTTTCTGCCCCATGCTGTCACAGACAGGGTTGACTGGCCAAAGACAGCCTTGAGGTGAGGTCGGATGCTTTGTACAAGTCAGTTCCAGGCTTATAAGAAGTTGCTCATTTTCTGTACGTTGGCTAGATTTTATTTTATTCGTATAGCCAGACATACAAGGATCATACATGTCTATCTCCTTTCAGCCCATGTAGCCACTTGTACTGTCTTTTTATATGTGGCCCATCTGGGTCATTCTTGCCCATATGCACTATAGCTTCAAGAGATTGTCGCCAACCTGCCTGCCTTTCACTGTGGACCAGGCCCTGCTGGGGCATCCTGTGCCAACAAGGCCTCACTTGTTGGCCTTATTCTCTGTCCCTGAGCCCAGTATTTCCCTCATGATTGAAAACACTTAACAGCTTTCACTTAGTGAGTGACTGGCCAGATCAGATCCTTTGCCAAGGCCCAAACCCAGATCATGAGCCCATCTCTGGGACAGCTGCTGAGGGCAGAGTAACAGGGCTGGTGAGGACTTGGCAGCCACTGGGAGGCCACACT